CAGATGTGGATGTGAGCCACATCTGAAACTAAAGCAAGGTTTCATGGATGAGAGGCACTTTACTACCATCCTCTGCCGATTTTTGCTGTTAGAAGTGCGACGATCTTTTCAAAAGCTGCTTCAATGCTGATCTCTTGGGAAAGAAAAATCAGAAATTCCGGAGGGAGTATTTCGGAAGCATCTCATGCATGGGACTGTTAATGTTCTTATAGAAACGTTCAAAAGGAGCATGTTTACATCTGTGTGGGAGTATACATATAGTATATATATGTATCTAGACTTCAGTTGTAGAGAGGCCGGTTCTATTTCCACAGATTCAAATGTGCAGCGTAATAGAAATTGTGAAATAAAAATCGCAATTTTGAGTTTCGGCGTAAAAGACGCAAGCATCGAATACCATAACCTGCCAAGCATTTGCAGGCATGAACTTCACGGCGTTGCTCTCGTTCCTCCTCTCACTGCTCGTCGTCGACGCCTTCAACATTGACTACCCTCAGTACGGAGGATACGGAACAATTCGGCGGGCAATCGAAAGAGACTACGCAAAGTAAGTTTCCAGTATTCAGCGGAGATGGTTTTGCAGAAGCCTAAGTTACGTAGGGAGGGCTTCAGACTCTCATGAGAGTAGCATTTCGAGCTGACACAGTTGGGCAAACTGTAGTTTGATCACAATTCCATCCATTTTCGAAGAATACCTTCAATGTAGGACATAAACACAAGCATGAAACGAATGTCGATACATGCAAGGGTTACAGACTAATTACGTTAGTGACGTACAGTTACGTGATTGAGTAACCGCATTGAAAATGCTTCATTGCAATTCTCGTCTTTCTCAGTTACTATGACCGTACTTTCCTTCTGTTCACGCAAATAACTACATTTCGGCTCGAAAGCTATAAGCAAGTGATATCGTGGGAGGCGATGCTCATCACGCAAGAACTCAGAATTGGAATTCAATCGTTGTCTACCTTTCAAAGCTGAACAGGCTTGGACTGTCTTTTTGACTAGTGGCCACTGTATTTGTATAATATTAGTTCAAAGCGACTGAGGGAGCGTGTGAAGGATTGAGGGTACGGCTATGACAAAGCTGCTCCCTTTCTTAATCGTCTTACGGCGAAGTAAAGGCTAAAGGGCCTACTTTGCAAAGAACTGGAGAGACCGTACTTCACAGGCAAATCCCAAAGACTTCACGTGCTACGGTATCTACCGCTCTTTTCATATGATCGTAATGATGCGCGATGTAGGAAAGTAAGGTCCTTGAGAGGTACAGTAAGACGGCAAATTAGTGAAGTCATCTCAATGCTAACTATTGGCATTGAGATGTCGTCACTAATTTGCTTTGCTAAATATAATACGTGCCGTCACCACAACCACATTACCCTGCGCCGGCGTCAGAGCGATATGAGACAGGGCAAAAAAAACAGGGCACCCATTGAGAGGTATATAGTGCTGCAGCCAAATGAAACCCGACACTACCTGAGATGTTTTGAAACCGAAATGGAGCAACCTGCTCCCATTTCACGACAGGGAAGCAGAGCAACTGCTAGCTTATGGATGGCTACCGTCAGAGGGGATCAAGATAGAGCCGGGGTAGCGGTTCTCGTAGCTCGATCAATACTAGTAGACTCCGTATTAAAACATAGGATTGCACCGTATGAAGGTCTATGGACAAATGGTCTAGCCTGGTTCCCATTAGAATCGGAACCAGTGGATACGCAACTCTTACATATTGCATATTTTCCATCGAGGAGAGACTTCTTTTTCTACACGACATTCATCGAAAGGGTCCGTCTAAGACTACACACAAATGAAAGGATCAATTGACATCACAGCGGCCTTAGTTCGACGAAGTTGTCCCAAGGGATTACTATCGCTGGTCATTTCCAAAGGTAGGCCCGTTATGTCTGCAACCGTCCCTATAATGGCTCTTTATTTTGTGTGTATAAAAAATTAACGACTGAGTTTATGCGACATTGTGTTGTGAGTCAAAAGTCTCGAAGGGCATGCATAGAAATTAAAAAGAGAGGCAACCAACTTTCACGGCGCACTCGCCCGAGCCATCGCCATGTGTAGCCTTTTGATCTTGCTGCCTCTTTTCCAATGCAACTGCCCAGCTTTCAAGGCGAAATCGTCTTAATTAATCAATGCGAAAACAAGCTCACAATTCTCCCTTCATGGTTTGTTTTGGCGCTTCAACTTTGCTTCTCTACATGTATGAGAAGGAGGGATTCCCTTGCATGCCGTACGAAAATTCGGTTAATTCCCAACACCTACTGGCAGAATAAGAGGTGTTGGATATATCGCTGTGTTGATGCCTCATTGCAAAGTGATGTACAATCTCTGGAACACGCGCAGTCTTGAATTGGATACATTTCCCGTGCTAGGAACTTGCTCCTCGACTTCTTTGCTGCAGGTGAATCAGGAAAAGTCATGGCGGAAACCGTTAAAAATGGAGGTGCAAAGCTGAAAAACTCGTATTGGCGATCATAGCGATTTTTCTCGCTTACGTTTTATAATACATCCTTCTGATAGAAAAATCTGTTCGGAATCGTCACTCAGCCTATGCTTCTGACCTCCCATTACGAAGTCCAATAATGTACTAGGAAAAACAACAATCCTCACACAACTTCTGGAGCATGACGACCGCGACCTTCCCATGCGCACAAAGGCTGGTACAAAGGTATGAGACAAGGTCAAGCTACTACGGCAAAAGAGAATAATGTGCTGAACTTAGGTGAAAAAACCTCAGAAACCGAAAACGACCATATAGAAATAGAAGAAGAAACTCTATCACTTCGGCCTCCAACCTATATTGCACCAGCTACCATAAGAGCTGAAGGGGCGTATATAATATGTAGGATCCGCGCAGGAGCCCGGTTACCTACTGCACCAGCGGTTGATAGTTTGAGAAATATATATATATATATATATATATATATATATATAATTTACTTATACAGTAGCGCTCGAAAGTGTTTGGTCAAACACTTTCACACTTGAACACGTTCATTACTTTTTTCTTAGTGGAGCAAATCGTGCGGAATTTTGATATGTTCAACTGAAACATATTTCACACTATCCCACACTATTAGATTGTAAAGCAGCAATATCCACATACTGAGAATAAGAGGTTTATGCGGCAGCAGATTTCGCTAAAAGCAAAGTTAGTGACGTCTGCAGTTATTCGCACACTATGTGCGTTTTTGTTCTCCAGTGTGTTCGGCATCAGCGCTCGTACACTTTAGACATTACGAAAAGGAGAGAAGTTCCAGAAGGAAGAGCATTCGTATTTCTACATGATTTTGATTTTATACATGATCCAAGCCATTTGGGATATCAGGAACATGATCAGATTGCAGGTTAATAGTGGAACATAAATATTTACACTACATCCATGCTAAATATCAAAATTCCGCGTGATTAGATCCAGTAAGAAAGGAGTTGCGACTGAAAAGTATGACTGAGGAAGCATTTCACCGAAAACTTTTGAGCGCTACTGTATATTTAAAATAGAAAGCATCCACCAATGTTTAATAAAATGACTTAGCAAAGTTAGTTACATGTGTTTGATGTATTTCATAACAATTCAGTATTCAGTCCCCTGGTGAGCAGGTTGTGAACAAAAGCTGTTAGTAGTCATAGTGCGAAGCTATTATATGTAGATAGCTGCTGCTTGACTCATCCGTTGATTTCATTCCTGTTCTGATGATGACCCTGCTCAATCACTCGCGAAGAGTTGAAGGAAAAATAACTTCATATGTGATCCTTCTGGATGTAGATTATCGGTGTACTATTGAAATTCAAACCAATGTAAGGTCAATTCTGCTGTCTAGAGATGGTACATACTTCATACTGTCGGCTTCATGGTCATGGCCACCACAGCTAACAGTATGAAAGATGCGACGCAAATTACAAGATCATTACCCACCATCTTAATTCATAAACAGATTTAACAGCAACAATTATGGATGCTCATTCAGATAGTGTGCCAGTGGTGAACTTATTCATGAACTATATATGATTTTAACATATCCCTTCTGTTCTGGTCTGTGCCTTGCTTAAAGGCACAGGTCAGGAAATGGTGGTTCCGGAGATTTGCATATAGTTTGAATTCGAAGCCCCCTCTGATACCATTTGTGCAGGAATGAGGTCGAAAATCGTTAGAATAGGGCACAATTAGGGCAGGAACATTGGGGGACGTCAGGGCTCCGCCCCTCGCTAGGCTGACTACGCGTTCGAATTTTCCTTCACCACTTTCGCATTGGAGCGAAGTTGGTGGAAAATCGATACGCTGATTGGCAAATTGCCAGGAATGGTCAGCTGGTCGACCGCCTCCTTCTGGTACTAATATTCGGCTGCTTTTCAACTGATTGGCTTCAACTGAGCATAAATCTACAAATGAAAGTCAAAGAGTGTTCTTGACATTGTACAAGAACACATAAATGACCCCAAATGAAGCAAATGCGTTGCAAATAACAAAATTGAAATCCTAGCATGCATTTTATAAAGCAACGTACTATATGGAAACTTAGGTACATTTAATCGTAAAATTATAAATATAAGGGAATTTACTCACCTTTCTGTGCAGAACAACTGAATAAACATAAAAGTTCAGCGAAATATCAGTTGGGGAATAAATAGTTTCAAGAATCTAGTCTAAATCAGCTGTTTGGGTGTTTTGTGTGCCATTGCACACATGGCGTCGCTTTCATGTACTTCCGCGAAAATTCACTTAACCACCGTTTTCCCATTATGAATCTCGTCCAACCACTTTTTCCTCTTTTTTTTCGGCCGTTTGTTTTCCTTTTTTCACTGTTTTTAGCCTTTTATGCTTTACCATTGTCCTAGTGTAAGCCTTACCTACCACTATCTCTAAAATACCGTCCTGAACTGTGCCTTTAATTACATACTCGTCATTTTGAGTACCGTTATTGGTTCTACACACTTGAGCGGAATATCAAGGAACAAAGCACTATAATAGAACACTCATATTTAGAAGGATGCTGCCCATGAAAAACAGGCGATCTCCCTTGGAAGGATTTGAAGACATTTCATCAATGATGCGATCCATTGATGAAATCCAGAAGCCAAGGTAGGCACTGTTCTTTTTTTTCCGAATCATCAAAACATTGAGTAATAAAAATGTAGAGAGGTTTGAAGACGATGTAACCTCGTAGTAATCCTCGGTCGTGACGGGCTTCAGATTGCTGTTTAGTCATAGATATGGCTGCGTTCAACTGCCAAGGACGTTCCCATACTTCTCGTGTTTTCTCATTGAAGCTGAAGAAAATTCCAAGAAAAACCTTTTCTCTATTTTCCAAGTTTCTGGGGGTCGTAAGTTGTGTGAAGACCAGCCAGTTTTTCTCCTCAGCGATTGAAACACTAAGAGAAAAACGAACAACATCGAGTTCAGCCAAGATTTGCAGCACGCTTCTAAGCCGCTCGTTTCGTTTTTCTAACCGTTCCAAAGCCAGAGGTATCATGAAGCAATGAACCACAATTTTCCACATGCCGACTCCCTAACGAAGTGGCCTAACTAGGAGTCTTGAATATATTGCTGTTCTACAACTCGATTGGATTCTCTCTTTGTTGGAGGGAGCTAATCGTTTCGTGATGGGCTCGACTCCCTCTAAAACCATAAGAAGGGATAAGATTGTCCGTAGTGTCATCTTACGGATCAGGCGCTGGTGACGGCGAGCTTTTTCAATCGTGTCAGAACACTGGAGTTGCTGTTCCCTAGAACTGGTATTTGGTAAAATCCTAGAGCCCAACACCATTCGATCGCTGCGTGCCGCTGATTCTTCCCTCCGTCCTGAGTGAACCTTAATCAGTTTCCCGTACCACTTGTAGACTAGCGGCAAAGAAGGAAAGCTGCTTGAAAACTCAAGTTGAGGCGTCTTCCTCAAGATATCTTGGTTTCTGCCTCCCTATACGTGCACACCACCCAATATCAAGCTGGGAACGAAGAGGATTGGTTCTGATGGATAATGCGAATTCCATTAGACAGCCTCTGCGAGCGGGTGACGCCGCTCGAAAAACAGTGAGCCCATCGTAATCGTACTTCTGGATCATCGTACAGCTGGCACCGCACGTGGACGTCGTTACCAGCTGTATTCATGACCTTTGCGACCTCAGGATGGGGGTAGGACGCGTACTGCTTAAGGAGCTCAATATACGCTCATATTCTGTACGGCAGCAACTGCTTCTGGTGGACAACGACCATTGCTAGTGTTTGTCCGTAGTGAACTCAGCTCAAGTTCATGCTATTATATGTATATTACTACTCATCATACACAAATTTTCTTGATCACTGTAGAGAAAATATTTTGCGATAATTACAGGTTTGGAAGGAAGTGAATGCAAAATGGGTGGGCTATTGGCTGATCGTCTCATCTTGTGCTTATAGAACGTGTGGTTCTGTGAATAAAAATTCTTTTTTTTCGCCGTGTAATTAGTCTTCGTTAGTGGTTCATGCCCTCTTTCATGATATGTCGACGCAGAAAATGTCACTTTATTCGGTATTCTCCATTGACGAAATGTCGCCAAATGCTGTCATGGTGGTGCATGCCTAATGCTTGTCTGTCATCAATGAAGATGTACGGTAAAGAAGCAGAACGAAGCACTCGAAAGGGAAATGTTGAAAGTTGTGGTTATGACTTGGAAACCAATCTTTAGAACCAAAAGTTGAAGCCATCTCTGTAGCAAAATGATTACCAACATACTAAGCAAGGACCCAATCAGTCAATGTTTGAAAATCACAAACCGCGCTCGAAAATACTTCAACTTCAGAGTAAATATAATAACTTTATCCTTCAATCCTTATGTATTTATCCCATTTATTTATTTCCTACCCAGTCACTGGGTATGTGTATAAAACTGTAAAAAAAAANAAAAAAAAACTAAGTTTGCGGAACCAGAGAGTTTCGCGCGATGTCACAATGAGAATCCTCAAAAGGGCTAGTTCATCCAATCGCGAACTCTTGTGTATCAATTCTCGTGAAGTTCTACCGGGATATTTTAATCGACCGATAATTATGTTTAGAACATGAGGCTGCGAGATTTAATGAGACCATAGGTCAGGCCGTCTATCTCGTTGTGCAACGTATACCGGTTCATCCCGGTCGGCATCCCTTTTTCGAAATAGGTTTGAAGAGCATCGATACCAATAGCATCGATAACATTCTGTATACCGGTAGCAGAGTAAAGCAATATACGTATTATATAACGACCCGAAGAAAAAAAAAACCAGAGAGCAGCGATGAAATCAGATGGGAAAACAGCTAAAGTAATTAAGGAATTTGATGCTTCAGTCCGTTGTAATAACGTACGATGACCGTTACCGAGATTTTCTGAGAACTTCCTGTCGAGTTTATGAGGTAGGTACTTTGAAATAACGGAGTGTGATTGCATCGATTGAAGACTGAATTTTAGAAACGAGTTTTCTAGCGGTGATGGAATCAGATAGGAAAAATGTGCAATTGGATTCATATTCTTCTTTTTCGTGGCATCAGTAATTGTCAGTTGTCTAACAAGCTGCTATATTAGTATTTGCAATTATTCAATCTTCTTGAAATAACATCAACGTAAATCCCTATTTCAAACGGCTAATGCTCCCAACAATCTGCCCGTGTTTGAGCTTCCTATGCGTTCCAGGGTTGCCTTGACAACAGTGAACGATTTTGCTTCAAAAGGTAAGCAGTCGTTTCGAGCTTATTTTGGCTCATAGCTTGTTTCTAGAGTCTCTCAAATGTCGTTCGTCCCCATAAAAGATGGGGAATTCACCAGTACCATCTACGGAATGGTTAGTTATCAATTATGTTTCAATTCTTTTAAATGGTTATTTATTAGGCTTGTTCTCAAATCTTATCTCGTGAAGTAATAGAAAACCCGCTCGAATTATGGAATAAAGTGATATCAAGCTAAGGGAATGTTGCAGAAAAAAAGATAAATTAAATTATTGCTCATTGCTCTTGAGTGAATCCATAGTATAAGCTTCTTTTTTACTCCGTAGTAATTTCCATGCATTTGATTCGCTTTCGTTTTCACAAAAGGACTTGTACTCGAAGAACAAAGAACTAGTATGAGCATGAATCAGATGTTCAAGCAAAGACAGCATACAATTAGAGCAATAATGAGATCATCCGAAACCGGAACCAGAAGCGCGGTTCAACTTGTCCAGGGAGTTTGTGAAAAGCTTTTGTACTGGCCAGTTTTGTGCCCCCAATCACGCTTTGAAGTTCGCTTTCGGATTGAATTTTACTCTCCTTCGAGGGCCATTTCTGAGAATGTTCAACACAAAAAGTCACCTGAGAAGGGATATTGTTCTGCTGAGACGTTAGTTGTTTCTATGACTTCGACATACGGATTAGTTTTCGGTTTTTCATCAGCGGAACTGAGTATCCTACCTTCCTATTTCCTAGGCATTTGAGGTGGAAGGGGCGAATGATTGATTTACTTTATTATCCGTTGTTTTTACTTTTTTTCACCTTTATTTACTTTACTATCTACTTTACTGTTACTATACCTATTTACTTTATTTTTTTACCTGCTGTTCCTAGTCTACCGAACGCAATGAACTCCTCGTTTGAAAAGACAAGCGAAATCTTGTCTCTGCTATTATATTATGTGGACAATAATGTGGATCCTGGCTGATAGCAGTAGTCTTATGACTTAATCATTCCCCGGCTGGTCAATACTTTGACTTGAGAGATCAGTCAATGTGAGCACCTTAATGGTTCATTTAAGGCATTGAAAAGGGAGGGAAATTCAGATACTTAACGAAAACCCAAAAAAATGAGCACCATACTTCTTAACCGTGACCTTGCATCCTTTTCAATAAAATCTATCTTCATTTGCAGATAAAGGAAGGAAAATACAATGAAGTGATTCGAATACTTCAGTACGAGGTACAGCGTGCCCCAACGGTGAGTTTGAGTGAAAGAACACGTTAGTGATCAGTCATCGTCAATCTAGAATCAGCGATTCTGCCGTGGTGGCAGGCCGGGTAAGAACGGACTGCCGCTAGCAACTTTTTAACTAATAGATGTTTTCTTGTTTTGGTGGAAGCCGTTCTATCTCACGGGAGGGACATATATGGCCCTCAGCGGACCTTCGTGGTGGAATAGCCGAGTTCTTTTTTACGGAATATGACTCTTAGAATTTTCTTCGACTCATTTTTTTTTTGAAGAAGAACCTTGCAGAACCGTGCTGCTTTGTCTCTGCTGGGTTATTGCAGTTATTACACTCAGGTAAGAGAATGTTGCTTCTTCACTTTATGGTAATTCGAGGGACTAAAGCAGAGAAATAGCGAGGTATTCAGAAAGCATAGTGATGTGGAACTAGATAACCAAATTATCTTTTACTGATTTTCGTTTGAGTCAGAGCTGAGAATTTCTCTCTGATATGACCCCTTTTATAAACCATATACGCATTCAATACGCCAATACGATTTTGAGTTGAAGCGAAATGCAAGGACTCATCGCAAAAAAAGGTTGATGAACGTCAAAGGCCACTTCCCTTCACATTTAAAATCAGCTCATTTTTGCGCTTTTCGGCAACCTTGGAAAGTACTTATTTTCTACGTGACAGCCAAAAGAGCAAAAGGGATAATGACAGCAGTTGAATCAATGAAAATACTGGTACCAAAATTTTACCTCAAGCGATCAATTAAATTGCTATTTATTCTGAACAAGAAGATTTCGGAACCTATATCAGTAGTGGAACTCACGCACTTCCAATTGGGACCACGTCGGTAGCATTAACTTATTGCAAGGATAGGAGACTCTTCAAATAGGGAATGAGTCTCCAGGCTCTTAAAACGATGTCCGGAATCTCTCTGCTCAAAGTAACTAGCAAGTTAGTTGGATGCCCGAGGCAAAAATTTTGTACCAGTACTTTAGTATTTTCAACTACTCTCAGTATTACTTTTGTCCTTTCGGCTGTTCATGTAGAAAATGATTGCTTCGAAAGCGGCGACAAAAGTGTAAGAATGGGCTGGTTTTAAGAATAAAAGCTTCAAGAAAATAGGAAAAAGATGGGGCTGTACGAAATTATAACTCGGAATTTGTTTGAAAGGAGTTCTCGGAAGAGGTTTCAATGGTGTGTTATCCGGTAAAGAGCTGGTTACAGTAAACCAGTAAGGGTCACAAATGGTTGTATGAATTTACATAGAGGGTGCTCCGTTGTAAGGTGTGCACCTTCTACATGGCCGCCCAGACACACTTTCCACTTTAAAGGTGCTAGATGTGATGGAGACAAATTTTGAGCCTCCATTGCGCCCTATCAGGACCGTTGTCCATCCTGCAACGACCCACGTGCTAAGCTTGGAAGGCAGTATTTTTCTTAAAAACGAATTCCGAAAACCCTTTTTTATCATAGACCTTTGAGTTCCCCTACAGTGGGTACTGAATCAGTCAAATATGAGAATCTGGAGATTTTGAAGTTGGCCACTTTACTTCTGTATTTTCCCAGGATTACATCAATGCCGTGGACGCCTACTCACAATTGTCACGCTTGTTTCCTAATTTTCCCGAATACAAGGTCTATCATGCACAGTCACTTTACAATGCATTCAGACTTCAAGAAGCACTGCAAATCGTTTCTTCAGTGAGTTGCCTGAGTTATCAATCTTTTAAAATGATTGCTTTTGCTATGGATGTTTCAGATCGAAGAGGAGCATCTTCTTAGCGAAGTAGTCAAGCTTGAATCAGTCATCAAATACCGCGAGGAGGATATGAACAACGCACGTATTCTCGTTGAACAGTATCCTCCCGACGATCCAGACACTGAAATGAATCTGGCATGTCTGGATTATAGGGTATGAGGGATCGCTGAACTGTTCTCTATATTTTGCTAACTGAATAAGCACAAGGCTATCTTACGACACCTTTTTGAGCAGTATTGTTTGCTATGAGTGCTCTTCTCCTGAGGGCCTCTCCAAATTATTCAGCTTCCAAATTAACGGACGAAGTCCTCAGGAGAACAGCAGCGTATGCTAGAAGAAGTAATAAACTGTAAGCTGAATCCAGTAACTTCGTGGAAACAAATTATTAACATTTTCCCGCTAATCTCCAGTACATAGTTGGTACCGTGTTTGTGAACGGAACAAAAATTCATTATTCTCCTTGCCAAGAGATTTCGGAAGCTCTTGACTCTTTTTCGATGGCTGATGAAACATTGCGTGGCGAATATGTATGGTATGAGAGCACGTTCATAATTTTTGTTCAAATCCTGAAATTTGTTCAAGCAGATCTGCATATCCTGATCACCCGCGACACTACTCATCATTAATGTGAAAGCAATGCTGGGCACCTACAGTGAAAATCCTTCATTCAGCGTAATAACCGCAACGTCTGAATTCACTTAACTTTCTGACAAAAAATGTCCTGCTTAGTATAGAGTAGAAAAGTCTTTGCCTCTACCACGTTGCCGTCGTTACGAAATTTAATCGGTGATCTAATTCTAATATTAACTTCGCCGGTGGTGTGGAAGAGTAGGTACCTCTAGACAACTGACATTTCTGCTGCATTGATGCCGCTGGCAGTGTCTCCCCGACTTCTACAACGACTCGTGAATTCTTAAGTGCAAGGTGAAAGCAGCCTATTGCCCCTTATATGAACTACTTTGTTTCTCATATTTTTCATCTAGATTACAATGGTACTTGTACAAAATCAAGAGCCTCAGTTTTGCTTCGCTGAATGCTGGGCTGATCCTCATTGTCGATTTGCTTTACTGTGATAATATACTGTACATACATAGTCGTCAAACATTAGCAAAGCAAAAATATGCGCTGTTGAGATTTCTGGATCACCGTACCTGAACAGCATTCCCAATATCAGTTCCATGCCGACTATTCGGCTAGAGACAACAAATCAGAGGTCTTTCACTTCACCACTGCTCGGATAAACTTTACGAGCAATGCTGAAGCAGAAGAGTTTATTATCCAATTTTGTGCCTAGCAAAATACTTACGAGTGAGCGGAAAATTTTTCATTCTCTTTTCCAGGACGGAAATTACGACAAAGCCTTGGAACGCTTCAACAATGCGAGCTCAATTAGAGGCTATCAAGTAAGCGATTTTTGCGTAGAGGCTCTCACCTACTTTTGATCCCCTTCTGAAAAATCCAAACTATGAGACACAATGTTCTTCCGATCGCTTTCCAGCCAGAACTCGCCTATGCCATTGCTCTCTGTCATTATCGGAAAAAGGAGTACCAACAGGCGTTAAAATTCATCACTAACATTGTCGACAGAGGGATCAAAGATCATCCAGGTCAGTTCGCATATCGGTATATTTTCTATGGTCATTTCTTGATTTGTTATTCCCTTTTAAAAATGTTTTCCTCAGCCCGCAAGACTAACAACATCGAAGTACATTTTTATTTCCATTCCATGATCAAACTTTACAAAAATACGTCACAATCGTTACATTGGGGACCAGCAAAAGTTTAAGAGAATTATATGAGCAAAACATAACAGGCAAGTTGATTAGTGCTTGTCAAATTCAGCCCTACTCCAATTTTTTTCTTTCACACTGGAAACTATACTGTAGTCACAAGGCAAAGTAAGGCAACGAAATATATACCCTTACATGACTTATTTCTTGGACCTTCAAGTTACTTGTCGCACCTGTGACTACGAACGGAAGGGTGCACAGTGGCGGTGGAGCTATGGACCCAGCAAAAAGTGAGCTTTCCAGTGTCCTGTGCTTCTAGAGGAAGGAATTCTGAAGGCTAATTGCGTGCTGAATGCTTGGAGAACAAGCACCTCATTCGCAGCGCGGTACGTTGATAACGACCTTTCTTCTTTCGCGTCAGATGGTAAATGAAGATGAAAAGCGGAAGAGGAAGGTGACGATCAAAACAGTGGGCCAAATCCACCGGTGCACAAGTGGTCGAAGCGAAGTCGAATAATATCGTGTAAGTAAGAAGCGGAAAAGGTGCAGAGAAGAATGATAGTAGTGCAGCTATCAGGCATATGCATTACATTTCCCTCAAAAATATTATAAAGTATTAGGTTGAGTCATAAGTCCTCGGACAAAGTGATAGTGATGAGTTCTTGAGATCACCACTCGGGAAAGAGGACACGAAAATGGACGCATGAGGCATCGTTAGATAGAGTATTGAACGCTCTTTCAAATACATACTAACGAGATACCGACCATCTCCTGCGCTTCAGCGTGAGGAGAGAAAGTGCCATGTCGGCGCGAAAATCCATGTCATACTGCTTCGAAGCATGAGGCACCCATCGACCGAGCTTTTGCACCTTGCCGACTGACTTCAATCCGCGAATAATTGTGGACCGACTCTCCAAGGGTTACTGCCAGATCACGAGTAGTTTGATATGGATCGGCTTCCACCTGGCTCCGCAGCACCTCCAAATCCAACTCCATTGAACGTCCCAGACGGTCTTCATTTTCGATGGAATGGTCGTCCGACGTGAACTTCGTGTGCCACTTGTGAATTGTGCATCTAGCAGGGGCACCCTTTCTTGTAAACTTCCTTAATATCTCTATCTATCTCCGCGGGTTCTTGGCCAGATAAAAAAGAAATAGGATGGTGTTGCGGAGGTGAAGTTGCGACAGCTTGAAATCATGGGGCATGGTTCCAGGAAAAGAAGTAGTTAGGTGTGTTGGTTGGCATGTATTTTGAAGAACTTTCCATACTTTATCTAACAATGCCACGTCCATTTTCGTCTCCTCTTCCCCGAGTTATGATCTCTAGAAGTCATCGCAATCATTTTGTCTGAGGACTTATGACTCAACCTAATAAATATATTACGAAGTATCATAACTTCA